CTCCTTGTAGCCCCAGCTGTCCTGGAACTCACTATGTAGACCAGGCTGGCCTTGAACTAAATAAGATCTGCCTGCCTCTGCCTCCCAAGTGCTGGGATTAAAGGCGTGCACCACCATGCCCGGCCTGCTTTTGTTTTTTTAGGCAGGGTCTCTCTGCAAGCTCAGCTGGCCTGGAATTTACTGGTTTACCTAGGGAGTTCCGAGTCATCTGGGACTACAGTAAGACCCTGGTTCAAACAGACAAAAACCCCAAAATTTATTTGTGTTTTTTTTTGTGTGTGTGTGGGGGGCATTGATGTATACCACAGTGTATGTTGGGTCAGAGGACAATTTTTGGGAATTAGTTCTTTGCCTCCACCATATGGATTACCAGAATCAAGCTCAAGTCTTCAGGGTGGTGCCAAGTATCCTTATCCATTCACCTAGTTCTTTTAAATATACTTTCTTTAAATTGTATACCCCTTTAGTGAAAATGATATCTGGTTTAGAGTTGGGTCTATAAATTTATTCTATGGAGAACTTGAATACAGTCTCATTGTTTCATTTCCTCTAAGGGTTCTTTTTTTGGTTTTTTTGAGACAGGGTCTCCCTGTCACCATGCCTGGCTCCTCTAAGGGTTCTTAATCTTGACTGCATGTTAAAATCATTTGTGGATTTTATTTTTTATTTACTTATATTATTATTATTATTACTGTTATTATTATTTTTGTCTTTTTGAGACGGTCTCCCTGTAGCCCCAGCTGGCCTGAAATTCAATATGTAGACCAGGCTGGCCTCAAACTCACAGAGATCTCCCTGCCTCTGCCTCCAAAGTCCTGGGATCAAAGGCATGAATCACCATACCTGGTCCATTTGTGGAATTTTTAAATATTTGCATTCTTTCTTTGGGTGCCAAGATGTTTGTTTTCTTTTTTAAAAAATATTTTATTTATTATTTTTAGTTTATGTGTATGAATGCATGTATGTGAGTACACCCGTGTCATGCATTGCCATGGAGATCAGAAGAGGGCTTCGGATTCCCCTGGAACTAGAGTTAAGGACAGTTTGTGGCCGCCATGTGGGTGCTGGGAGTTGAACCCGGGTCCTCTGCAAGAGCAGTCAGTGCTCTTAACCACTGAGCCATCTTTCTAGCCCCACCAAGATGTTTCGTAGTAATGCACATCTGTGCATCAGACAGACCTATTGCTAAGACCCATTGTGAACAACCATGAATGTGAAAATTAGTACTGTAATTGGTGGGTAGTAATTAATAAAACTCTGTGCCTAAAATAATTTCTGTCCTTGTTTTCTTTCTAGTGCTGAGATTGAACTCAAGGACTCACATATGTTAAGCAAGTGCTCTACCACTGAGCTGCACCCCCTGTCTTATAGATTCTATCTCAATGCAGTTTTAAAAAATATTTTATTTATTTTTATTTTATGTGCATGAGTATATTGCCTGCGTGTATGTAAGTGCACTCATGTCATGCACTGCCCATGGAGATCAAAATAGGGTGTTGGATCCCCTGGAACCAACCAGAGTTATGGATAGCTCTTAGCTGCCGTGTAGGTACTGGGAACTGAACCCTGGTCCTCTGTAAGAGCAGCCAGTGCTCTTAACTGCTAAGCCATCTCTCTAGTCCCTTGACTTTGTAAAAATTTATATTTTTTTCATGCATATGAGTGTATTGCCTGCATGTATGTAAGTATACCCATGTTGTGCAATGCCCTCGAAGGTCAGAAGAAGGTGTTGGATTCTAGAACTGGATTTACCGACAGTTAGCTGCCATATAATGCTAGGAATTAAACCCAGGTCCTCTGCAAGAGCAGCTAGTGCTTTTAACCACTGAACCATCTCTCCAGCCCTGTGATTTGAACTTCTATAATGTGCATGTATTAATTCTTTTTTTGTGACAAAAGTAATAGATGTTTGTATGCAGTAATTTAATGAGAGTTAAGTACAGTTGGTCTTCTGTATCTAGGTTCCATTCTCAAATTTAACCAACTATAGATTGGAAATATTCAGAAAAAAATTGTGTGTAATAACATACAAACTTTTTTCTGCTCATTGTTCCTTCAACAGTACAGCATAGCAACTATCTGCATAGCTTTTACATTGTATTAGGTGATATAAGTATCTAGAGGTGATTGACAGTGTGCAGGAGGGTACACAAGGTCATGTGTAGGTTATTTGTAAATAAGTATACCACTTCATAGAAGGGACTTGAGTATCTTAGGATTTTGGTGTCCATGGTGAACCTGGGACCAAAACACTGGATACCAAGAGACAACTGTGTATCCTTTCTTCAACTCTAGTGAATGCCTTTTTTTCTTTTTTAAATTTTATTATTTTTATTTTATGTGTATGCATGTATTGTCTGCATGTAGGTAAGTGCACCTGTGTCGTGCCATGCCTGCGGAGGTCAGAAGAGTGTCGAATCCCCTGGGACTGGAGTTACAGACAGTTGTTAGCTGCCATGTGGGTGCTGGGATTCGAACCCAGGTCTTCTGCAAGAACAACCAGTGTTCTTAACTGCTGAGCCATCTCTTCAGCCCCGTGTTTGTTTGTTTGTTTGTTTATTTATTTATTTTGATCTTTTTGAAACAGGTTTTCCCTGTAGCCCCAGCTGGCATGGAACTCACTATGTAGACCAGGCTGGCCAGAGATCCACCTGCCTCTGCCTCCCAAGGGCTGGGACTAAAGGTGTGCACCACCACGCCCGGCCTTGAATGCCTTTTTGTTTTCTGTCTCTGTTCAAGCCATTATTATTCTTTATTATTCACAGTGACCTGCTGATGAAGAATACTTCACTAACCGTCCCAATTTTAGATGTCCTTTCCAGCCTCCAACTTGACTCAAGCTTCCTGTCTAAGGTAGGGAAGAGCTGCCTCTCCAGAAACAAGGACAGGTTTCTGATCTCTGGGAACCAGTGTCAGTCATTCACCTCTTTAGAAGAAATGTGTAATGAAAATTGCATGTTGAAACTGTGCTCACCCTGTTGGCTTTTTCCTCCCTGTGATTGTGATCAATCCCAGAGTCTTAATAAATGCTGGGATGTCTCTAACACTAAACCTCAAAATGTCATGTTGCTTTTTTAATCTATCGATAAGAATAGTAGGGAGGACGTTTATGGCATTCCCTTACATCATGTCTGTGAGCATAGTGGGATCTAAGACATGCAGAAGAGAACATGAGGTTGGCCCTTTGTCGGTAGAGACTTTTCTGTTTATTTAAGTCAGACAGGTATTTTGTTTTGTTTGGTTGAGACAGGGTCACTGTGTAGCACTGGCTGGCCCAGAACTCACTTATGTAGACTAAGCTAACCTGAAACTCATAGAGATCCACCTGCCTCTGCTTCCCAAGTGCTGGGATTAAAGGTATGTACCACCATACCAGGCTTTTTAAAAAATACCTTCAGAAGGTCTTACCATGTATCTCAGACTCGCCTTAAACTCAATATCCCCTTGCTTTAACCTCCCAAGTGCTGTGATTATAGGTATATACCACTAGGTCTGGCTTAAGCAATATATTTTGTAGGGCTTTTTGTTTGTATTTTTCCCTGCTGGTAATCAAACTCAGGGCCCCAGAAAAGCTAGGCAAACGTTTCACCACTGAATCACAGCCTTAGCTTTTAAGTGGTAAGGTTGTGTGTGTATGTGTTTGTATGTATATGCATGCATGTGTCTACATATGCATGTGGAGGCTAGAGGACAACCTTAGATGTTCCTCAGGTGCTGTCCACCTTTTTTTTTTTTTTTTTTTAAAGACAATGTGTCTTACTGACTTGGAGCTCACCAGCAAACCCAGGAATCTGTGTACCTTCTAGGCAACAGATTTGTGGTTTTCAAGCACTTACTACCACACCTGGCTTTTTTGTTTTATTCTGTTCTTTGTTTTTGTGTTTTTGGTTTTTAAATTTATTTTATGTGTATGAGTGTTTTGCCTGCATGCATGTAAGTGCACCAATGTTTTACAATGCCTGCAGGAGACAGAAGAAGATGTCACTTTCCCTGGGATTGGAGTTATGAACAGTTGTGAGCTGCCGTGTGTGTACAGGTCATCTGGAGGAACAGTCAGTGCTATTAACCCCTGAGCCATTTCTCCAATCTCTGGTTTTTGGGGGTTTTTTTGAGACAGGATCTTCTGTAGCTCTAGCTGGCCTTTTAACTTGCTACCAGGTCGGCCTAGATCCCACAGAGATCCTCCCACCTCTGCTTCCCTTGTGCTGGGACTAAACGTGTTTGCCACCATGCCAGCCTTGTACCTGGCCTTTTTTATGTGAATTCTGGGAATTAAAGTCAGGTCCTCATGCATATAGGGTATTTTATTGATGGAGCCATCTCCCCAGACCCAGGTTTTTTATTTTGTTGTTTGTTTGAGAGATGGTCTCATGCTTTCCAGACTGACCTTAAACTAAATGCTTACCTTATTGTGTACTGAAGATGATCTTGAATTCCTGATTCTCCTCCTTCTACCTCTCAAATACTGGGATTATAAGCCTTCACCAGCATACTTTAAGTAGTAAATTTTAATGGAAATTTGCTATGTTGCCTGAATAATTACTGTTCTGTATGGGAGTAACAGTTTTAAAAAATAAAACATTTGGCCTGGGAATGTAGTTTAGTTAGTAGACTGTTTGCTTAACTTACACAAAGCCATGGGTTTGATTCCCAGTACCACATAAACTGGATGTGGTGTCCTATACATAAACAGGAGGTGTAGGAGGAGGATCGGAAGTTCAGGGTCATCCTAAGCTACATAGTGAGTTTAAGGCTAGCCTAGGATACTGAAACTCTCATGAAATATAAAATAATACGCTTGCTTTTACTTTTTCAATAACTTAAAAAATATGAACATTATGGAATTAACCAAATTTTCCCTTCCAGGTGCCTTAGTTCCCTTTTAAATAACATTCTTTTTCTGGAAAGCAATTAGTTCACTCCCTTCTAAGTAAGAAGTACTACAGTCAGCTTTGTAGTATCTTTTCTGTCTACAGAAACCATCCAAAGACAAATTCTCACAGGACAATTATATGAAGCCAGTGGTCACTAATAATTGGAAGTAAGTTTGCCATGATGGCTGCGACCTGGGTGTCAGCAGCGACCCACCCACCCGTGACAGCAGCAGCCGAGAAGTGACTCTTTGCTTTCCCATAGCCAATTGTGAATTCAGGCTCTAAGCTGTAAGACACTAATTCTGTTTCACCTTTATCACTTCTGTCTTACAAAAATCTTTGAAATTAATAATTGAAAATTTGTAATTTGGGAAAAAGAAGAGATGTTTGTCTTTATAAATTACAGATGAGAGAACCAAATGAGAAAGGATTTTTCTGTTTTTATCTAACAAGTCCATACTGGGTTAAAGTAGTAACATAGAGATAGTAAAGGCTTTTGTGCTTTTTATGTTTAGCTCCGCCAGTTGGTGATGGGCAAGCTGTCATCTGTCAGACTGGATGATTTGCCTGTGATAGTCAAGTTCATTCTTCATTCTTTAACAGCCACAAATTCACTGGAGGTATGCTATTATTTCCCACCAAGCCTACATTAATATATGTCATGGTAAGTTGTTTAAATAAATCATTCAAATGGCTGTTTTCTGGCTCTAGATGAATTGATAAAGCTGTTTACTCCTGAAATCTCAGGGAAGAGACAGGAGTTAAGTCTGGTTGATTAGTCAATACGAGCTGCTGCAGGTTTATGTTTGCTATTTCTGCACAGTGGCACCTCAAGTGAGTCTAAGGTCTTTGTGTTAGCTATTCTTATCAACTCTTTGACATATTTTTTCTTTTTTTAATATTTTATTATTTTATGTGTACGAGTGTATTGTCTGCATGTATATGAGTGTGCCTGTGTTGTGCAATGCCGTGGAGGTCAGAAGAGGCCTTTGGATTCCCTAGGAACTGGAGTTAAGACAGTTGGTTCATAGCCGCCATGTGGGTGCTGGGAATTGAACCTGGGTCCTCTGCAAGAGCAGTCAGTGCTCTTCATCTCTCTAGCCCTGACATATTTTTTCTAACAGTAAAATGTTTTCTTCACTATTTCAGGGTTGTAGAGTTTCATTGAGAGAAGGGCCTATATCTGTTGACTAAAAATGAGGCAAATTCATGGTTAATATTTCTTCTTGTAGGTAATTTCTGAGCTCCGGGAAAAGTTGAATGTGCAGCATTTTATTTTGCCATCATGGGTTCAGACTTCCCAAAGCAAGATGAAAAGTAAAGGACTAGCAAGGTATGGAGTTCTTTACTGTTGACATTCTTTTTCTTGCATAGTCATAGGTTTTTCACATTTATCCTAAAGTAAAGATAGAACATGTGGTCTGGAGAGATGGCTCAGTGGTTAAGAGCACTGGCTGCTCTTCCAGAAGACCTGGGTTTGAGTCCCAGCACTCACATAGCAGCTAATAGCTATCAGTAATGCCAGTTCCAGGGGATCTGACACCCTCTTCTGGCCTCCATGGGCACTGGAAGACATGAGTATACTTACAGACATGAAGACATAACATTCATATACATGAAATAAAAATAAATGAATTTTTTAAAAGTTAATGGGCCAGATATGGTGGCACACGCCTTTAATCCCAGCACTTGGGAGGCAGAGGCAGGCGGATCTTTGTGAGTTCAAGGCCAGCCTGGTCTACATAATGAGTTCCAGGACAGCTGGAGCTACAGGGAGACCCTATCTCAAAAAAACAAAACAAAACAAAACAAAAAGCTAAAAAAAAAGATAGAACTTAACACAACTACAAATACTGGTTGCAATATTACCTTAACATACAATACTGAAGCAGTTTTCAATTTGAGGGTGGGGTGGTGGTGGCGGTGGTGGTGGTGGTGGTGGTGGTGGTGGTGGTGGGTGTGTGTGTGTGTTCGTGTTCTTAGCAATTCAGATCAATTCAACATAAACTACAAGTTTTTAGATATTTTACATATGCGATTGGGGCTTGTTCCAAGGCCCATGGTTAGTAATCTATAATTCAGATCTTAAAAGATTCATCTCTAGTAAATAGAGGAAATAATTCTTCCCCTTCTGCTATTTATAGCTCTTCAGGAAATCAAGAAAACAATGATAAAGATTGTGTTATTCTCCTCTTTGATGTAATAAAGTCAGCCATTAGATATGAGAAAACCATTTCAGAAGCCTGGATTAAGGTGAGAGAGATCTTTGGAACTTTGTGCATCAGAGAGGTAAATGGGTGTTAGTCAGTGACAGATGTGTCAGGTAAACTGAAATAAAAGTCTTCAAATTGTCGTTCAAGTATAATTGCTAGATGGTGGGTGGATGAGTACATTCGTTCTCTAAGAAGAGGGCAGGGTGTGTGGAATGAACATCCTCTGCTGATGTGTTATAATATTGTGCTCTTGTTTTCAGGCAATTGAAAGCATCAACTTAGTGGCTGAACATAAGGTAATTAATGTTCTTGCACTATGAATTTTAAGTGCAGTTAAAGTAGTTGTACTGAGTAGGTTTCCAGCCTGCTTTCTTTCTGTCTTCCTTGCAGCATCCTTATGTAGCTGCTGTAACAAATGTTGACTGAAGAATATCACCTAAGGGGGGTGATTTGCCAAGTGGTCTGCTTCTACTTTCTTATTCTAGAAATCAATAATTAAGCCTACAAAACTCAGTAGGGGAAATAGGATATGGTTCCACACATATGAAGTCACAGGAGAATCAAAGATCAATATCAAAGAAGCAGTGTCTCTCCGCTGGGTCATGAGACAGGCCTTCTTCACCAGGCAGAGTTAGCAGGATAATGTCATTCTCTGGTTTTACTTTGTGCATGTGGTCCTGACCCAAGTAGAATAGTTTTTCCTTTATAGGGTCATGGTACTTGATCTCTTTCTCTTTGTATGTGTGTTTATTTGCTTGATTTTTTTAGAGGCAAGGTCCCACTCTGCAGCCCATATGCAAAAATATGACAGGAGAGGAAAATGGGTATTGAAAAAAATCAGAATGCAAAACCATACCTGTTACTGGGGTGGGGTTTTTTTTATTTTTTGTTTTTTGTTTTTTTTGTCAATTTTTTTGAGACAGGATCTCCCTGTAGCCCCTGCTGGCCAGAAACTCACTATGTAGACCAGGCGATCTCACAGAGATCTACCTGCCTCTGCCTCCTGAGTGCTGGGCTTAAAAGCATGCACCGTTACACTTTCATTATTATTATTTAAATTTTTATGTGTATGAGTATTGCATCCCCATATTTGTAAGTGCACCCATGCATGCAGTGTCTACAGAGGTCAGAAGAGGGAGTCAGATCCCCAGCACTGGAGTTACAGATAGTTAGTTGTTCGTTCCTTTGTGGGTGTTGGGACCTGAACCCAGGTCCTCTGCAAGAGTAGCCAGTGCTCTTAATCACTCTCTCCAGCCCCAGCCTTTATTATTTAACATAGATATTACAAATTAGTGAGGAAACACAAAGCATTTACACATGTGAAAAACAAGATTTCCTTTGCTCTCTGCCCCATTCCTCATGGAGAATCTTTCTAATTTTTGTAATTATATATAACCTTGCATGTATAAGCACAGGCATACTCATATCAACATAGATACATGCATATTCATGTGTGTGTAATTTTTATTATGTTTTTACAAAGTGGAGTATCACTGTGATTGTTGTTTTTCAGGTTGCTTGTTTTCTACTTTGTCATATGTTACCATGTGTCAGAAATTACTTTCACTGACAAAAAATGCAGTTTCGTTTATACTTTCCTATGACTCTGTAATATTCCAAAAACACTCATCATAATTTAACATTCCCATATTGATAAAAATTTATAATCTTTGCAACTTTTCATAGAACAGTTTTTCTAATTATGAAAATATATGAGCTGGCCGTGGTGGCACACACCTTTAATCCCAGCACTCAGCAAGCGGATCTCTGTGAGTTCAAGGCCAGCCTGGTCTACATAGTAAGCTTCAGGACAGCTGGGGCTACAGGGAGACCCTGTCTCAAAAAGACCAAAAAAAAAAAAAAGAAAATATATTCAATAGTTGACAAGTGATTTCATTTTTTTTTTAACAAATGTAAAGATACTCAAAATTACCTCTTTATAATGTTACCTTTACTTATATTCTAATATTTTCTTAGGAAATACCAGAAGACAATGGTTGTGGCACTTTATCTTGGAAAAATAGTTCTGGGTTTTCTGAGACTCTGTCCTTCCATGGGTGTATAGGGAGCAAATGAGTGTTGTCCTTGTGTGTATGTGGGTTGTGGGTTGTTTTTTTTTTAATCTTGCACTTTAAAAAAAAAAATGTGTATGAGTGTATTACCTGTGTGTGTGTAAGTATACCAGTGTTGTGCAATGCCCAAAGAGGTCAGAAGAAGGCATTGGACCCCCTGGAAGTGGAGTTATGGACAGTTTTTAGCCACCGTGTGGATGTTGGGAATCAAACCCTAGTCCTCTGGAAGAACAGCCAGTGTTCTAACCACTGTGTCATCTCTCCAGCCCCTTCTTTTGGTCCTTTTGAGACAGGGTCTCCCTGTAGCAATGGCTGACCTGGAACTCACTATGTCAACCAGACTGGCCTTGAACTCACAGTGTTCCAACTGCCTCTGCTGGGATTAAAGGCATATACCACCACACCTGGTCTTATCACTGTCTTTTAATGGGAAAAGAGGAGTCACTGGTTGCAGAACTGATTTGTTAAGCTCTTCTGTTGCTTCGTGTTTCTTGACAGACTTTTGACATGGCAATGCTTCTCATCATCTATAGCACCAACACTCAAACAAAGAAATGTATTGAAAAAGTGTTAAGAAACAAGATCCAGTCAGGCTGCATCCAAGAACAGCTGCTTGACAGTACATTCTATACTCATCACTTGGTAAGTATGAGGTGAACAGGTTGCATTAGGTTCAGGTAGAAAGAGGCAGAGAAGTCATCTTAACATTTCCCTTCCCAGCATGGAAATCCTCACAATATCTTTGCTTGGTATTGATTTTTGATAGGGAACTCAACATATTTTAAAGCAGTAGAATGATTGCTTTGCTTGATTGAGACATGATGTTAATAAGCCAACTTAAGTTTGATTTTCACTCTTGGTAAAAAAGCCACAAAATTGTTTTATCTTGAACTGCTTTGACTCAAAATCCAAATTCTGTTGTTTTGTTGGATGTGTGTGTGTGTGTGTGTGTGTGTGTGTGTGTGAAAAATTAATACTTAAAAAAATTTTTTTGTTGAATTTTTGTGTATTTCATACAGAATATCTTTTTAAAAAGATTTTATTTTTATTTTATATATATGAGTGTATTGCCTGCCTGCATGTATGTGAGTAGTACCCGTGTCGTGCAATGCCACAGAGGTCAGAAAAGGGCTTTGGATTTCCCTGGAACTGGAACTAAAGGCAGTTTGTAGCCACCATGTGGGTGCTGGGAATTGAACCTGGGTCCTCTGCAAGAGCCGACAGTGCTCTTAACCACTGAGCCATCTCTCCAGCCCCCTCATACAGAATATCTTAATCATGCATATACCCCCTTCCCCATTGGTCCCCTCTCATAGACCCCCCCCACTTGAATTCATACATTCTGTCATTTGTATTAAAGGCCTATCATGTCAAGTTAGTGTTCCCAGATGTCTCTCAGTGCAAGTTCATCTGCTGAGGTCTAGTCAGCCTATCTAGAGTCCTTCCCTTTAAGAAGATCAGCTCTTCCTCACCCAGCAGTAATCAGCTGCTTTTGGGGACTCCTGCTGTGTAAAGTAGTAGTCTCTTCATGTCCGGAAAGCCCACGGGCTCGGATTCAAATGCAGAGACTCCTTTTTCAGCAGGATGCTTTCCTGGCATCTTCCTGACTCGTCTTTTGACGTAGCCGCCACAGAAACATGGCCTCTGGCTCTGGAAATGTCTGGTTTTCCTGTGTGATTTTCAGGCAGTCTGGCAGGAGCTTACCACCACATGTAAATGGGGCATCTTAAAAGTACCTATCAGCTAAGGTTTTTACTACCACCCCCACGGTATAAAGTGTCCTGGTTTTTCCTCAATAATTGGAGCTGGATCACCAAGACTTGGAGCCGAGCTGAGTCACTGAATAAAGAGCTGTAACACGGACTAAGCTGAGTCCCGTGTCTTATTGCCTACGATCCAGTCTTCCCGGCGGGCGCTATCCTTCCGTCATTGACTCACAGAAATCCGCTGACAGGCCCCGAATTTAGAGAGAGAGTGCACGGGTGAAATTGGGGTGGAACTCGACCGAGCCAGCCTCGGTAGCAGAGACCCACAGAGACCGGAGAAGCAGGGACCCACGGCAACGCGCTGCGGGACCCGCCGCCTTCCAGGTGCGCGCAGGGGACCGGCACCATGCTAGCAGCTGGTGCCCCGGGATCCCTGCGCACCCCAAAAGCTGCTAGTAATTCTTCAACTAAGATTGGGGCCTGCTGTGCTGGGTTTTTGTCTGCTTTAGTTTGCATGGGTCTTGTGTATGCTGACATTGCTGTAGACTCTTCTGAGAAGGGTCATGGGAGCCTGCAGGACTCTCTTTCCGTATGGTCATGCACCTCTTCCCTGGCTCTTAGAATCTTTCCGCCTCTTTTTCTGCAATGGTTTCTGAGCCCTGGGTGGGTGGATTTTAATATAGGAGTCCTGTCCAAGGACCCACACTCTGCAGACTCTTATTCTCTGTGTTCTGGCCATTTGTGACCTTTTCCATTCTTGGCCCTCTGTTGCATGAGGGAACTTCATTGATGAGAATTGAAAGATGCATTAGTTCTCTTCATCCCTTGTTCTATGTTCCATGAGCCTTAGGTGTAGAGGTTGCGTCGTAGATGTGCCATAGATTTGGGCTGTTCACAGACAGTCTCTGTGTGTGATCAGTTGTGGAACTCTGTAATAATATCTGTTGAAAAAGAAGCTTCTTTGATGGGTGGTGACTGGGATACTTGTATATAACAGTTTGGTGCTAGGATCTACAAATGAGGGTGAACAGACGTCTTTTGTTTTTCTGAGTCTGTTACTGTTACTTAGTGTAACAGTTTCTAGTTCCATCCATTTACCTGCAGATTTCATTATTTCATCTTTTATTTTTTTTTTTGGTCTTTTTGAGACAGGGTCTCCCTGTAGCCCCAGCTGTCCTGGATTCACTATGGAGACCAGGCTGGCCTCGAACTCACAGAGATCCTCCTGCCTCTGCCTCCCGAGGGCTGGGATTAAAGGCGTGTGCCACCATGCCTGGCTTTATTTCATCTTTTTTTTACTGCTGAGTAGAACTCCATTGTGTAAATGTACCATATTTTCATTGTCTACTTGTCAGTTGAGGGGCACTTAGGTTTCTTCCATCTCTTAGCTATTGTGAGAAGAGCAGCAACAAACATGGATGTACAAGTGTCTCTGCAATAGGATGAGTCCTTTCAGTATGGACCAAGGAGTGGTACAATTGGGTCATATGGTAGGTTCATTTTTATTTTAAGAGTTTTCCACACTGCTTTCCATAAGGGTTGCACGAGTTTGCAAGTCCCACCAGCAGTGAATGAGCCAGCATTTGGGTATCATTTGTTCTCTTGATCTTAGCCAGTCTGACTGGGACAAAGTGAAATCCTAAGGTAGTTTTATTTGCACTTCCCTAATTACTAATGATGTTGAACACTTTTTTAGATGTTTGTTAGCAATCTTTATTTCTTCTTTTGAGAACTCTCTGTTTAGAACTTCAGCCCATCTTTAATTGGGTCATTTGTTTTCTTGATTCTTTGTTTTTTGAGTTCTTTATGTATTCTGAATGTTAAACCTCTTGTCAGATGTGTTGCTAGTAAAGATTGTCTCCCACTCTGGATTTTCTCTTCACTTTCTTGGTTGTTTCTTTTGCTGTACAGAAGCTTTTTAGTTTAATGAGGTCCCACTTGTTGATTGTTGACCTTAATTCCTGAGCAACTGGTGTCTGACTTAGAAAGTCCTTTTCTACACCTATGTTTTGTAGGTTACTGCCAATGTTTTTTTCTAACAGTTTCAGACTATTCAGTTTTCACACTGAGATCTTTGATCTATTTGGAGTTGACTTTTGTGCAAGGTGAAAGATAAGGGTCTAGTTTCATTCTTCTACAGGTGGAGATCCAGTTTTGCCAGCTCCATTGTGTGTTCTTGGCACCTTTGTCAAATATCAAGTGACTGAAATTGTGTGTATTCAGGTTTGGGTCTTCAATGATGTTCCATTGATCTATGTGTATTTTTATGCCAGTACCATGCTGTTTTTATTACTGTAACTCGTAATATAGAGATCTGGTACAGTAATCCCAGCAGCATTGGTCTTTGTGTTCAGGGTTGCTTTTGCTATCTGGAGTCTTGTGCTTCCATATGAATTTAAGGACAATTTTTTTCTAATTCTGTGAAATATGTCATGGGGATTTTTATTGGGATTGCATTGAATCTATATATTACTTTTGGTAGGATGGTCATTTTCACAATATTAATTCTTCCAATCCATGAGCATGGGTGGTCCTTCCATCTTCTGGTGTCTTCCTCAATCTCTTTCTTTTAAAGATTTAAAATTTTCATCATAGAGATTTTTTTTTTTTTTTGTCTTGTTGGGACAGGGTTTCTCTGTAGCCCCAGCTGACCTGGAATTCACTATGTACACCAGGCTGGCCTTCAACTCACAAAGATCTGCCTGTCTTTGCCTCTGAAGTGCTGGGACTAAAGGTCTGTGCTACCACGCCCGGCATAATTTTTTTTTAATAGCAACATTAATAAAGAAGCTGGACTTATACATTATTTACATTGGGCCATTAATGTGCATTTGTATTATATTACTGTTAAGGCATGATGACCTGCCTTTCTAATGATTGTTAAAAGAACTCAGTTTGGGTGTCTGTGGCCATAGCTCAGTCAGTTAAGTGCTTGTTGCACAACCATGAATACCTGAGTTCAATCCCCAGCAACCACGTAAAAAGCTGGTGCTGGGGACATGGAGATGGACAGGTTCCTGGGGCTCACTGGCCAACCAATCTAGCCTTATTGTTGAGCCCCAGATCCCAGTGAGAGACCTTGCCTGAAAACACAAGATAGAACCAGGCATGGTGGCACATGCCTTTAGTCCCAGCACCCGAGAGGCAGAGGCAGGCAGATCTCTGTAAATTCTATCTCTGTCCTCTTATGTATCTTGTTCCTGATAGCATACTCAGGAGGATTTGCAGCACCTGAAGTCTGACCTGGATGCCATTTCCATGAAATGCAACATCTTTCTTCAGCAGTCTCCATCAGGTTCCAGTGCCCCAACTCTGCACTCAGAGCTCAACCTGCTGGTAGAAAAGATTGTCCAGGTCTGTCTAAGGCCAGCCTGGTCTATATAGTGAGTTCTAGGCCAGCTGGGGCTACAGGGAGACCCTGTCTTAAAAAGACATAAATAAGTAAATCAATCAATCAGATAATAATCCCAAGATAAATGGCCCTTGAGGAACCTAAGGTTGACCTCTGGCCTCCACATGCAGGTGCACAAATGTTGCACATCACACACATGGACTTGCATTCACTCAAATACTTTCATAAAAATAAAAAAGAACGGGGCTGGAGAGATAGCTCAGCAGTTAAGAACACTGGTTGTTCTTGCAGAAGACTCGGGTTCGAATCCCAGCACCCACATGGCAGCTGACAACTGTCCGAAACTCTAGTCCCAGGAGATCTGACAGCCTCTTCTGACCTCCGTGGGCATTACACAACACGGGTGTACTTACCTACATGCAGGTAATATACGCATACACATAAAATAAAAATAAATAAAATTAAAAAATAAATAAAAAATAACTCGGTTTGGGTAGCACTGAACCTTAAGTCTGATTTAAATCATAACCAAGGTAGGAAGACCTACCCAGAGAGGCAGTATGATTGAGTGAAGAAACAGATTTATTCAATCTGACTTGTAATTCTAAATTGAACAAATAGGAACTGTATATACTCTTAGGCTTATAATCAAACTTTTTGAGATTAAGATGAAATCTTATCTGTGGTATCTGATTGATGCTGAGAGAAAATTCAGAATGGTGAAGGATTATTTTCTGTATAATAGAGACTAAAATTCTTTATAGTGCCATTTGTAGTGGAACACGCCTTTACTCCTAGCCCTTGGGAGGCAGAGGTAGGTGGATCTCTGTGAGTTCGAGGCCAGCCTGGTCTACATAGTAAGTTCCAGGCCAGCTGGGGCTATAGGGAGATCCTGTCTCAAAAAAAAAAATATTCCTTAGCTGGGTGTGGTGGCCTACACCTGTAGTCCTAGCACTTGGGAGGCAGAGGCAGGTGGATCTCTGTGAGTTCCAGGCCAGCCTGGTCTACATAGTGAGTTCCAGGA